AAATTTCAACGTAAACCTCATCCATCCAGTTATTTTTAGTGAAATTAAAAAGGAATTCAATATAAAATAGCATTATCACCTGGTATTCCCAGCCTGTGCTACGATTATTTTTATTAAAATAAACTATAAATGATTGATACAAAGTTATTAAAACTTAATATAATAAACCTATAGAAATATTAAGTAAACTACAGAAAATGTATACATTTTGTTAATGAAATCAAAATAAAAAATTATATTTACTACATCTCTTCAAAAAAAAGTAGGAATTACTAATATTTCACTTTTATTATGTATAATTCCCAGTATTTCTCGTTAAAATCATGGGTAATAAAAATTGTTATAATTTTTTTTTCATATAAAATAAATATGGTATATTAATATAAATATATAATAATTTCATTCTTAAAAGTTCTTGACTTTCATGTGGTATTTCATTATATTTGATATCATTATTTTGAAATTTTTTGTGATAAGTATAAACTTTTTTAAAAAATTCTATATATAATTATTATTATAACCCAAAAAGAAATTAATTATAATAAAAATTTATAATTATAACGGAAATTAAAATTAATGAATACAAATATTCATTAAATACAACAAAGTTAAAAGAATTTATGGTCAAAGCATTATTAAAGTGATTATTTAAAATGAAAAATATTTAAATAATAATAAAAAAAAATTTTATATATTTTATTTATTATTTTCATTTTTTCTAATAAAATTCTGGTAAAAAACTTATATATATATATGAAAATAAAATATTACATGTATATTTTAGTGGTACAAAAAATAATAATAAGTTAAAATAATATCTCTTTATAAATATTCATGAAAACTAGAAAAAGTTAAAAAAAAAAATATTATTTATTTTTTTTATAAAAACTGTATTACTTTATATCTTCTTCAACATAACAAACGAAGTTATAAACTCAAAAAAGTATTTTTGCTATGAATAAGTAAAATATAATTTTTTTATTATTTGGCTAAGGTTTTTTATAATATTACTTCATTATTCATAGCATTAAAGTAAACATATTAGGAAACTTTGCGTTTTTCGATTGACAGATTAACTAGGGAAGAGGCGATAGATTGCGTTAATATATAAAGATACGAATGCAAAAATTTAATCAATTAACATAAACAATCTTATTCTGCAGGTATTTAAGAGCAAGTTAGTGTCAAAAGTGGTAATCAATGTCAGTATGCAGCGTGTGGGCTGTCTCTTTGCCGTACTCTTATTTATTTTTCAAGGGAGATGGGTGTATTCGTGGTATGTACAAGAATCTCGCTGTGTACGGGCATACACCGACCATGTAAATATGTAAGTACCCATGTCTGCCTAACGAATTGCTGACACATTGTAAACGTAAAACCCATAAGACCAGAATATTAATGATCTTAATTTAAAGTCAGAAGACCTAGTTAATGTCTTATTAATAATATACTTTTGACTATAATTAAATATCTACTCAGTAGAACTTTTAGCATTATACTTGATATAACGTCCTTTACGAGAATGCATACATATTTTAAAGGCTTATAAAAGGGTGCAAATTGGATACTTTTCCACCGAAGGGAGCGAGTTTAAACACTGCTGTAATGTCCATGTAAGATTTGACTTCCAGTATATCTTTATTTTAAGTAAGAAAAAGCTATACAGTAGAAGTAAATAAGCTCTAGATAATATTTTTTTTAATTTAAGTGTTTTTTTAGTAGCAATGTATTTTTTCCAATAATAACAAGGAATTGTAAGGGTATATTTACTTAGAACTATACATTGTCAAGTTTATATTATAATTATTCCTGACATATATCATAAGAAATTTGGAAGATAACGCCCTTACCGTCATCACTAAAAAAATGTTTGCTGGCCTTTCCAGCTTGACTTTTTTGTAAGTTTTTAATTATGATCGTATCATGCAATTTTATTATAAAATAATACTCTGTTTACCCATGCTAATGGAATTAATCATATATTGTTCCCCGTACTTTACAGAATCAATAGACTACTAGATAAAATATAACTTTTTGTACTACTATTAAAAGTCTTCATAATCGTTTAGTATTTTTTAAATACTCCCACTGTTATTAACGTATTACTTGTAGATCTTTATGGGAAAACAATATAAAATCCATTGAAGACGATTCGTTTTCTCATCTCGTTGCCTTGAAGAGACTGTAAGATTCTTATTCTTTATTAAAACGCTTGGGGGTTATTCCATAAGCCAGTTAGTAAATTTTAGAGGCGTTGCCTTGCTAATCTACTTCAACTACAGCCTCATTCGTTAGCTAGAACTAAATTTTTTGAGTTTTCATATTTGCTATATATATTGTTTTTCACTAATATTAAAGGATCAAATGGATGGATTTTAAGCTTAATTATTAACATACTTATAATTAATTTTTTTTCTAGTATAACTACTGACGTAAACTTTAAGGAATTTAGGTTTTAACCAACTAACTTTCATCAGCAAAGGAATGTTTTCTGGACTCCCTAATTTGACTTTATTGTAAGGCCATAATTATAATCTTATCATAAAATATTTTATTATATAATAATATTCTGTTCACCCCTGCTACTCGAATCAATCATAAAATGTTCGCTGCTTACTCGATAATTTATATAGTTACTTATAATATTATTAAGAGTCTTAATAATCGTGTTCAGTATTTTACATATCCCATTGCAATGTTAGTAACATATTACTTGTAGAAAATTATTGGATAATAAAATAAAATCAATTGAAGACGATTCGTTTTCTCATCTCGTTGCCTTGACTGAATTGTATGATTCTTATTCTTTATTAAAACGCTTGGGGTTATCCCATAAGCCAATTTATAAATTTTAGAGGTACCTTGCTAATCTATTCAACTACAGCCCTCTTCCTTAGCTAGAATTTAATTTTTTCTGAGTTTTCATATTTGCTATATATATTGTTTCTTCACTAATATTAAAAGATCAAATGAATACATTTTTGTGCTTAATAACAACCATATTTATTTTTAATTTTTCTTCTTATATTACTACTGACATAAACTATAAGGAATTTAGGTTCTAACCAACTTACCTTCGTCAGCAAAGGAATGTTTTCTGGCCTTCGTAATTTGACTTTATTGTAAGGCCATAATTATGATCCTACTATTAACTATTTTATTTTATAATATTATTCTGTTCACTTATGTTATACAAATAATCATAAAGTGTTCGCCGCTTAATAAAATTATATAGTTACTCACTTGTAATGTTATTAAGAGTCTTAATAATTGTGTTCAGTATTTTTAAATTCTATAACTATTTTATTAACATATTGTAGATCTTTATGGAATAACAAAATAAAATCAATTGAAGATGATTCGTTTTCTCATCTCATTGCCTTGACGATATTGTATGTTTAATTTTAATAATTTAAACGCTTGTAGATTATCCCACGGTGAACTTTATTTGTTTTATTTTTCTGTTTTGATAACAATAAACTAATCAATAAATTAAAGCAGCATTACCTTGTTAACCTATTTCAACTACAGCCCCCTTCGTTAGCTAGAATTTAATTTTTTCTGTGTTCTCATATTTGCTATATATTGTTTTTTCACTAATATTAAAGGACCAAATGGATGGATTTTAAGTTTAATTATTACAGTACTTATTAATTTTACTTCTAATATAACTACTGACGTAAACTATAAGGAATTTAGGTTATAACCAACTTAACTTCATCAGCAAAGGAATGTTTTCTGGCCTTCGTAATTTGACTTTATTGTAAGGCTATAATTATGATCCTATCATTAACTATTTTATTATATAATAATATTTTGTTCATTCATGCTACTCGAATCAATCATAAAATGTTCACTACTTACTCGACAAACTGTATAGTTACTTCCTTGTAATACTATTAAGAGCCTTAATAATCGTGTTCAGTATTTTTGAATCCTATAACTATGTTATAAGATATTACTTGTAGAACTTTATGGAATAGTCAAATAAAATCAATTGAAGACGATTCGTTCTCTCATCTTGTTGCCTTGACAGATCTGTACGTTTGTTATTTTTACTTAAAATGTTGTGGATTATCTCACGCTGAACTTTCTTCCATGAGCTAATTGATAAATTCAAGCAGCATTATTTTGCTAATCTTTTTCAACTATAACTCTCTCCGTTAGCTATAATTTAGCTTTTAGATAAATTATATAGTTACTTCCTTGTAATATTATTAAGAGTCTTAATATTCGTGTTCAGTATTTTTTTAAATTCTATAACTATTATTAACATATTACTTGTAGAGCTTTAATAGATAACAAATTAAAGTCAATTAAAGACGATTTGTTTTCTCACCTCATTGCCTTGAAGACATTGTAAGATTCTTATTTTTTATTAAAAAGCTTGTGGGTCATTCCATAAGCTAATTGATAAATTTTTTTTATTTTACCTTGCTAATCTATTTCAACTACAGTCTTCTTCCTTGGCTAGAATTTAATTTTTTCTGAGTTTTCATATTTGCTATATATATTGTTTTTCACTAATATTAAAGGACCAAATGGATGGATTTTAAGCTTAATTATTACCATACTTATTATAAATTTTGCTTCTAATGTTACTAATGACGTAAATTTTAAGGAATTTAGGTTCTAACCAACTTACCTTCATCAGCAAAGAATTGTTTTCTGGCCTCCGTAATTTGACTTTATTGTAAGGCCATAATTATGATCCTATCATAAAATATTTTATTATATAATATTCTGTTCACTTACGTTATTCAAATAAATCATAAATTATTCGCCGCTCACTAAAATTATACAGTTACTTCCTTTTAATATTATTAAGAGTCTTAATAATCGTGTTCAGTATTTTTTAAATTCTATAACTATGTTATTAACATATTGTAGATCTTTATGGAATAACAAAATAAAATCAGTTGAAGACGATTCGTTTTCCCATCTCATTGCCTTGACGGAACTGTAAGTTTTTTATTCTATTCGTTACTTTTCTTGGGGACGGTTTATAAGGCACCTTAATTTGGAAGCGACTATATAAGATAGGAATAAACCAATCGTAGGAGCTACGTTGCACTAAGTTTGCTACCCATTTTCACTTCAATCTTTGACTATTTTATGCATTACATTGTTTTTCTTTAGTACTACCACTGGAACTCCCTATTTGAACTTTTTTTACATTAATTTTAAATAAGGTGTAGTAATATACCTTACATTTTATCTTAACTTTGAACTTCTCATCTTTTTATATACTTTTAGAGATCTTGTTACTGTACGTTTTATCATATTACATAGCTTCTTTCTTGCATATACTTATCATGTTGTGTTGCTTTTGAAGGCATCTTTTCACATCTTGTTATACTTTTTCCAATCGTTTTCTAAACGTTTAGATTTATTGTTTTTCCAAAAACTTTCTGTTTGTAACATCTAAATAAACCGCGTAAGCCGAGGCTTCGCACAGTTTATCAGTCTAGTCAGGTTATTAAAGACCAATATAAATGCATTTTAGAAATAATTTTAGTAAAACTGCTTATATAATAAGACCTATCGGGGCGACGGTGTTGTTCCAGGTGTTCCTCCTGTTAAGTATTTATTAATATTTATCTTTTACATAACCATTAGAGATCTTACAGAAAATCCTTTAACTGAGATTGGGGCTAAAGCTTTTGTGGCTTCCTGGTACCCTCATGGCATGTAATTTTCTATTCCTTAGTATTGCAGTCTTACAAATTTTTTTTTAATTACCTTTTAAAATTTACTAGTAAATTAATACTTGACCAAAATTTTCTTTGCTGCTCGCGGGTGCTCTACAATGAATTAAGCTATGTTAATGGAAACTGCACTTTTAAAGGGAGCCTAGAAATCTTTCATGCTTTTAATAAAGCTAAGTGCCAAACATCAAGTTAGCCAGGATCTACTCACACCACGAGCAATAATACTGAAATTACCTCCTGATCTCCCTATAGTGGGGTAGGGATAGTAAATAAACTCATTTAGTACGTATTACGCTCTCTTTTACTTGATGGTGCCGGTATTTTCTGTATAAACCATAAAAGGCGATGTAATAATAATTTTTAATATAGTTGATTTTTTAATATTTTTCTGTACCTTACTCCGAGACTCTTAGAATAAGTCAACTATATGTTTTTACTTTATCATCTTTTAGTACAACGGTGTTTTTAGTAGAGCATTGCATTGCATTAAACGTTTCAATATATCGGGGTAAAAGGTTAGGTTTAATAAAAAATAATATATGGATATATGAACTTTTGACTATAATATTGCCAAAGAGCACGTAATAGCAACCCTTTCGAGTGAGCACTCTCCAACAATGCTACCCCCTGTTATACTCGAGAAGAGAGTCAGAGGCAGTGTAAATTGGGGACAAATATTAAATAATTTTGATTTACGTGCAACGATTGCAAGTATTAAAGTTTTTAAAACAAATAGGAAATGTGCCTTCTGTTGCAGATATTCAAATACTGTACTTTCCGAATCTTGCTTTTTTTATTCAAGTCATTCAGTAGAACGAAAATAACAAAGCTAAAAGAAAAAAAGTTTTTTTTTTGTATTATGAGAAAAAAAATTACTAGAGCTCGCGCTATCAAAACTTTTAAAAAGAAAAGATAGAATAAAGTAGGTTAAATAATTGCTACTTCACAGAAAACCAAATTTATTAGTACACTTGAATTTCTTATTAAGTTAACTTATCGGTAGCGTGTAAACTAAAAAAAAGTAATTAACTTTAACGAATATACAAAAAATTGTCTATTATATTAAGAAAAAACCAAAGGGAACAAGCTGGAAGTGGCTAAATTAATAAATAAAAAAATTACTATACCCAAAACCAGCACATGAGCCCATAAAACGGTTTGTAATAAATTAATTTACCCATAACTAGCATAAGTAAGAAAAAAAATTTATTGGAAATTAAAAGAATTAACTGAAACATAAAAATTAATGACTCTCTTTGCTAATTTAATATATCTAAAAAACTTGAGCTATCAAAACTTTTTGGTAGAAAACAAGCTATAACACTGTTAACGAAGATTATGTTATTAATTTTTACAAACCAGCTTATTAGCATACAAAACAAATCATTTAGTAATTAAACTATTATCAAGAGGAGAGAAAAAACAGCCTCAAAAATTTTAAAAAATAAACTTTTCGTTGTTCATTGTTATTTAAATTAGATAATGTGAGTGACAATCAAGTATATTAACTATTACTATTTATTAAATTAACTTACCATAAAACATTACAAATTTATAATAAGCTAAGTAGTAGTAATCTATTATCATGCCGTTTGAAATGAAACGCCTTAAAAGTTTTTAAAGCAAACTTTTGGTTTCCCATTGTAATTTAGAATAATGTAAGGGACAGTTAAGTATATAAGCAAACTATTACTTTACAAATCTAACTTTAAGCACATGACTTTATAGAGTTATGTATAGGCAGTGAGGAAAAACGCATCAAAAGTTTAAAAAAAAAACTTTCTTGTTGTTCAATGCTATTAAACTATACAAAAGTAAGTGACAATTATAAAAGTTTGACAAATTAGTACGTTACAAATTATTTATTAGCACACAATGATTTATACTAATAATTTGGTCTAATAAAATAAATAGTGCAAAAGTATGAAGTTCCCTCACACGTTTTCATTAATTATTATAACTATTTATATATTTTAATAAAACTGATACTAAGAGGCTTTATTTGGAGTATTCTAATTGATGTTACACTGTTATATTAATAAATATAGTGTAAAAAATTTAACTCAAACTTGAGTTTGTAATTACCTTTTACTTCACAAATCTTATCTCTATTTTTATTATATAAATAATACTAAAAAACTGTTTTTTTTCAAGTATTTTCCTTAATAATTATTATAATATTATATATTTAAGTAGTATAAAAGAAAAAAATGAGATTTGTGTACAAATTTATTCTTTTATAAATTCTTTATGAGAATTTATTTTATATGAATTTAAATTTAAATATTAAAAAAGGTCTTTTTTTTAAAGTAATTTTTTTAATAGCTATACATTACTAAATATTTATAAAAGAAATAAATTAAATTCATAAGTTTACGTTTACCGATCTATATAATTAATAAATTTTAATTATGTAATAATACCAAAAATCTTTTTTTTTGGTTTTTTATTGAAAAATCATATATCAATATAATATTGATAAATAGTACACAAGAAAAAAACTAGATTCACCTTGTGTACTTTTTGATTTGTTATATAAAATGTTATTGAATATTGAACTTATAAAATTTTATTAATTAATAAATTGTTATATAAGAACTAAACTAAATTCATCTCATTTATTTCTACTCATTATTTTTACTCATTCTAATTATTCAATACATAAGTTATTACTATAAATTAATGCTAATTTAATAAATATTTTAATCAATAGTTATTATAATATTAATAAATAGTATGAAAGAAGAGTGTCAGATGCAGATTTTCTGCTTAATTTTTAATCTTAGTATACTTTAATTAAATTTTTTTACAAAATAATACTAAAAGTTTTTTCTTTTAAAACTTTTTATTAATTACTAGTAAAAGAGTGTAACATAAAAAAAATTAAAGTTTCGCCAAATTAAATTATTATTATATGCACTTTTTCCCTAAACAATATATATTTCTAATTATAAAACTTTTATATTGAGAATAAATATTGTTTATATAAATAATAGTAAAGCATTTGTAATTTTTATTTAGATTTTTTGGTGGAATAAAATATTGTTGAATAATTTACAACGATGCTACCGTCTTGAATATTCTTTCTATGGTTTGCGAAATTTAGCACCTTTTTACCAATCCATAACAAATCCTTATAGAAATCTCATTGATTATAACGATGCGTAGCGTAAATGTTTTTTATTAAACTCAATGCGTTTCATGTTTACAAAAGAGTTTAACAGAATAAAAGTAACCTCATAGAATTCAGGTAAAAATAGTCAAAACAAGTTCTCAGTTTACCTTTTATAAGTTAACTCATTTGCTGTATAATGAAGTTAAAATTTCTTAAATTAGCGGTAAATTTTATTAGTACTGTTTGCCTTTAAAAATATTGTTATTCTCCTGAATAGCTAGCCATTCTTTTGTACTGCGTTGTATGGCTTTTATTACGATGAACCCAAACAAATGTTTTTTTGGAGCAGATACAACGAAAAGACTGATACTTTTCTCCAAATATGATGCATTGAGACCCTGATCAAATTAGTTGTCTTTCTGTATAGAATTTACCTGAGTTAAATTTTCCATCTTCAGGGCGCCTTTAAGTTAAAAATCTATTTATATAAATAATAAAACTTAGAACAGTAAGCAAACTTCATTTGTAAAGGTTATTATAAATAATGCATTTCTCACTGAAGGTGTATAGTTTATAAAAATTTTATGAATTAGTAGAAGGCTACAATTTTACTGTATATCTCTATTCTATAGCACAAGTGCGTGGTTAAAACACCAATGAATTTTTTCTAAGATTCAAAATATGAAATTTATGTACTCCCCCAAAAATAAAATAGCACTGTCGAACGTGATAATTATCAGCATTGTTTTTCTTGTATAAAGAAAAAAATTCATAATTACTTAAGCCTTTTTTTGTTTGAGATTATATTTACTAAGAAAATTTTATAAATTTTAAGTATAGAATAAACTTTACTATTTAATTTAACGAAGACTTCTTACCGGACACTTTAAACGCTTTATCACAAAAAAATATTTCCACTTAAAATAAAGCAGAAAAGGAGCACTATTTCGTGACCTATATGAGAGTAAAGCGAGAGGACTGCGCTTATTTTTTTTTTATTGCAGAGAGAGTCAAAAGCCTTGCTTTTACCTGTTCTGCTTTTGCTGTACGTTCTGGGAAGGCCCAAAGCTCTCAAAGATGTTCTCCCCATAAGAAAGCACTTAGCAGTTATACCGTATATGTAAATGTGTGCGCCATGCACTAAGTACTGAATTATCTTAAAGAAAAATAGTTGAGCATAAAGTTAAACTTTTGCAACTGCTTCGGCGAGCAATTAATACCATCAAAATTCTAAATGAAGTTACTAGGTAAATATTTATTTTTTTTTTAAGTTAGCTAACATACTTAAGAATAATAGTTTTGTATTAGGCCAAAACGTTTCTAACTAGGATATATATACATGCTTCTATACTTAATTATTATTAATAATATAATTTATTAAACATTTATTATAAAAGGAATATACCCAATTGCAATCTAAAGCTCTCTGACTATGAACAAGTAGCAACCCTATTAATTTAAAAAATTGTAAGAGTTACCCTACTACTATCATTATGAAATGGTGTTATTTTAAAATAAAGCGAGCTCTCATTCAATGACTTGGATAGAATTATGCTTTCCACATTGGAGGGTTTTCACTACTTGACTTTTATATACGTTTATAATAAACATATAGATGGTTTTAAAATATTTACTATGCAAGGTTAGTATGGTAAAACTGTTTTTATGCAATAATTTTAGCTAAATTCAGGTAGATAAAAATTTAAATTATTGAGGCTATCAAAGACATAACAAATAAGTATGTTTTCTATAACAGTTTACATCGATCTATTATTTAAGACATAATTTCTTATTGGCTTTAGTCCCTTCAGTTTTTTTCTTAAATGAAAGACAAATGATCCTGAAATTGATGTCAAGTTATTAAATTATATTTTAAATTAGTAATATACTCTAAATATGCTCGTAGAGTTTTTGTAAATGCTGAACTATCCTATCGGCTTTTACGGCTTATAATTTTATAACACCACGAAGAATATAGCGAAACGGGAATTAAAAGTAATAATTGTTATTTATTGTTTTAACTTCTTATAATAGAAACTAAATAAACTTTGATCAAAATTATCTTTCATCAGTGCGAAAATTTAATATTTTTTTCAAAGTAAAAAGTTCATATATTATATTACTCCGATTTCTTATACTCATGAAAGTAAAGCATGTGCCTTCATGATTACTATTATAAATTTTATTTTAAAACTTTTATATTAATAATTGCATTAAGACTTTTACAAGAAAATCAAATTAACTATATTAGCACCCAAATGTTTTCGAGTCTCTCTAGCTTGTTAGCATTGTAAGTTTTTCTTTTTTACATTAAATGGTTAATATTTATTTTTAGAAATATTCTTTTTTGTTGTATATATTACTTTTAACCTTAATGTTAAAAAATAAAACCTTGGATCGTAGAAGATTCGTTTTATTCCTTAATATGTCTAAATTTTCAAATATTCGTATTCATTTAAAAAATAAAAGGCTAATTCAATATTCTTTTTTAAAGTTAAAATTATATTAAGCTTGAAGTTATTACGGATGATAAGCGTACTGTGCCGAGGACATCTAAATTATTAAATTAATAAGAATTCTGATAGTAATAATCATGAGGCCGTTTAGTATATCATAAAATATTTTTAATAATTTTTCTACTTGAAAGTTGGCTCTAAATAGAGATGCATACATATAGAGAATCTTTTATATTGAAAAGGTTCTGTAATATATTAAGCACATGAGGTGGTTTCCAGCATAATTTATTCAGTTACACTGCTATTAGGATTAAAATATGCCGATGAAAAAAGAGTGAAAACGTAGAGTTATGTATTTAAATAATTTTTCCAACTTTAACACGGCACTTCACAATACTTTTTAGCGTAATGGTTACTTATTATTTACTCGCTTCATCCTGCACTTTTAATTCCACTTGGCAAATAGGCTTTAAGATTTATATATCAATAAAGAAGGGGTCGAGAAGTGTGTTGAAACAAGCATTTATAGTTTCAGACTACTCTTCAAACTTTTGACAATTAATTGTCATTTAAAACCACAGTTTTAGAAATATTATACTTAAAAAGGGATAGGACGTTTTGAAAAACATTCGTTTCATGAAAAACAATTTTTATCAAATACAACATTATTTGAACAAAGTGCTACAGTAGACAAAAGGCTTTGTTAACTAAACACAATTTTTTTTTTTGAAACCACTATACTTCTTTAAGGGAATATTAAATGAGTAATATTTCATATTGCATTTTAAACACATTGAAAATTGTCCACTAGCCGTGGTCGTTCTGTTAGCTCTCTTTGAGCGTTTCTATCCATTTTTGTATTATCGTAAAAGTTATTTCTTTATATTTATAAACCTTTGCCTCTTGGGTGTTAACATATAAGTAAAAAAAGCACATAATTTTGCGAAGATCAAGTAAAATTATTTATCTAAGCTATAGTTAGCGTGGAGCAGCGAGAATTTCTGATATTCTGAACGTGGTGTTATTTCCAGTGGCCGGCGTCTTCCGTTTTATAGCGTCGCCAAGCTAGACAAATAATTGATTACATGCATAGAGCAACTAAGTTCCAAACTGATTAATGATAAAATACACTTTGGCCACGAAATTGGACAGTGGTGCCCTCAATGCTTAACAAGGATTTCAATATTTTTCGGTAAACAAAGCCCTTAGAATTTAGCTTAAACGAGGGATTTAAAATAAGTTTCGAGAATTGTAGACCTAGAGGAAACAAATTTTAATAAGTGGGTGTATTAAAGAAAAAAAAGTAAGTTAGAGGGGAGATACATAGCTAAGGTAGTTCTCAGACGAGGAAAGTTTGGAGATTGGAACCTCTGCGGTACAAGCTACCTATCGAAAATGAGTTTAAAGTGGATATCCGAGCAATTTTCGCAGAAATGGATACAGAAACTGTAAAGGCGGTTCTTATGTTTTAACGGTTCAACCCGTCTGAAGTAATTAAAATGCGCTCCTTGAAACGGAAGACAACCCCTACCTCTACTCGTCAAGGCGTATTAAATGCGAAGCAAGAGCTAAAACTTGAAAAGTATTGAGTATATCGCCCTGTCGGTTGAACCCCTAAAAAGAAGCGGAAGGACTGGCCAGTGCTATATATGTCAATTATTTGAACATACAAATTAATACTGTAAGTCAAGCTACAAATGCGTTAAGTGCAATGACCCTCAAGGGTTGACGTCCTGCACTAAAAGCGAAAATTAAAAAGGTTACCTGCCCTAATTGCCCAGAAATGCATGTTTCAAATTGTAGAGGGTGCAGAACTACCAGAAATATGCACCTTTGAGAAAATTTCATAACAATTTTTCAACTAAAGCTTCCAAAAATCCTTAAAGTTTTTATTAAAGGCAATATAAGCTATGCACAGCGTCCTAAACAGAACTATAACCTGAATCAACTATTACAGTACCTTAAACGACATGAGGAATAACTTTATAGCAACACTTACCAATGCGATCAGCTATCCCTGGCAAAGGCCATTAAGGAGTTAATTGATATAACTTTTAGATTATCTAATTGGAGGCCAGTTCAGAAACTTATTGCCAGAATGAACCTGGACAAAATTTTTCATCTGGTACACATCTGAAAAAGATAACTGATTTAAGGTACCCAACTATTCTGTTCACAAATGCGACTGGAAAGATACTAGAGGACCAGACATGACTGTCTTAACTGGAAGAAACATTACCCACCAAGCGCCCTATCGTATAGAGGTAACTTTAGTAGTTGTCTGCGTAAATATAGAGCTCTGTTACGTCGGAATAGTCAGTATAACTGCTACTTACAAATCTTTCGGCAAGGTTATGCCTAAAGTTGCGGGGGTTTTAATATCTGAAGGGTTAAACTTTAAAACCCTTTGTGGAATAGAAGGCGGAGGAGCGACAATGAAATAAGGTTTGCCGAACTAGCCGGCAAAAAAATTTAATAGTTACTGGTCCAAAATCAACACAGTAACATAAATTCTTTAAGTACCTGTCATTGTCAATATGCTAGTAGTACTCTCTTCTGATCCTAATCCCATCCTCATAGAGATAGGAGATTAGTTCGGTCTCGACAACTTGGGTTAAAAAGGTAACCAGTTTTACCCACATTTCGGGAATATTTAGACAAAAGCATAGTCACCATGGAGCACTTCATTGGGAGAGCACTTGACTTAGACATGGCTGTTGTGCAAAGGGAAGGGTCTATAAAGAGAAACTATAGTAGGCCTACAAAAACCATCAATATAACCTACTAGACCATATTAGATCCCAGATTTAGAGAAGGCGAAAGCAAGATATCTGAACTCTTGTTTCCAAGCGATAGAAAACTTTACAACAAGATCAATTTTTGAGGTTAAGGAGAAATTGAAAGCTTGTTTCCCTAAGAACTGGTAGAAAATATAGTCTTTTGGGCCAGATAATAATTCTCTAGGGAAACTAACAAGAACTATTAGATCTACTGAGGTTAGAGGCATAAAACCGCTCATTCATGGTGCTGGAGGCCTCAGCTACGACGCCCTCCGAAATAGTAGAGGCATTAGCTAAACCACCGGTGCAAAAACTTAAAATATTATCCAATCCCTTAATACCAGAAAAACCCCGGATACCGATAATGCTTAAAAACTTAATTCCACGAGCTATCTCTGTGATTTTAAGATTAAAAAATTAATCAAATACTTACCACAGCCTACCTCCCCAAACTGTGGAAACTGGCTTAAGTAATTTTTATTCCTAAAACTAGTCCCTCTAACTGTTCTATTAAAGATTATCACCTAATAATCATGTTGTTCTCCCTAGGAAAGGAGGCAGAAGCGGGGTCCTTTGTAAATTATAAGAATTTGTGGATGGTATGTGCGTCCTGCCTAATATTCAATTTTGTTTTCAAATTAAGTACCCCACAATTCATTAGATAATTAGGCTTACGAGAGAAGCTACAAAAGCTTTCTTAAAAAAAAGTAGCACGTGTGTTCTTTTAGATATTGAGAAGACTCTTCGGTAAAAGAGGGCACGACGATCTAGCTCTCTTTTTTTACTTGACTGTGGTGGTACACCTTACACCTAAAGAATAGAACTTAACTGCTAGAGTAAATTCATTGAAGTCCGCTTTTAGACAATTAAAGGATGGCGCTTCCCAAGGTTTCTTAGTACCCCCTTTACTTTTTTCGATCGACATGTGCGACATGTCACAATTGTCGAAAAAATAGAAACTAGGCTCAATACGTAGACGACACAGTCTTATTTATAGTTCAAAATCCTCCTGTCTGGTGTTTAAAAGCATGCAGTTGACAGTAATTGAGACATGGTATCCAACAAGGAGGCTAATAATTAACGAGCCGAAAAGTAGCTTTGTAATTATAACAAAGGGAAGGATACTCCCCTAGATCTCTAGTAAACTGTCAATCCTTAAAGTAAGAAGGTTAGTTATCTCAAAATTGTGCGTGGACGAAGGACTAAGCTGAACTCCACATCTTTCTTAAGTCGTTTTAAAACCAGAATAGCTATAGCCATGTTAGATCCCTTACTATGCAGGAAAAGCAAATTGCATATAATAAAGAGTTTCTGTAGTTACACGCCCGCTGATGGCCTATGACCCTCTTGCTTGTGCCTATTTTTTAAAAAGCATATCCATAGACTAAAAATACTACAAAATCGCGTTTTAAAATGGTGGTGGACGCCCCCTTGGTTTGTGCACAACAGCTAACTACATAGTGAGTGTAACCTCAAGTTTATTTAAGTTTATCTTATTAGACAGACTCTAAATTATGACTTCTCGTTGGGTGCAAGAACTCGCGGTCAAAACATTTCTTAGACCTACTTAAGGGGGGAGGATAGGGCTAGGGTTATAGTTATTATATTAACTTAATTATATATATTTGTTTTATAATATTATGGAATTGTACTAATTCATTCCTTTACCTTTAATATTTTTATTACTTTGCTTTTAAGTCTTTTCATTATATGCTATTTAGCTATGATAACGCGCACCTATTCTCGTTAAGGGCGCATAGAATTGTTAAGGAACTTGTGGTTTTAGCACTCTCAATTCCAGTAAATTAAGTAGCAATCGATCGTAATCACATCTGTAGTAAGCCAGTACTATAAAGTGAGATACTTCGTCTTTTTGGTCTCCAGCTTTCTCTTTTTGTTTTTTTTTTGTTCATTTCGCTGTTTTAGTTTTTTATTTTTGAATACATTTTTTATTATTTGGTTAGTTATTCTATTACTTATTCAATCTATAATATATCCTTTTTTATTAAAATACTTGTTATTTTACCTATAATTTTTAGACTTGTTACTTTGATTAAAAATCACATGAATTTTTTTTGTTTATTTAACTTGACGACAATTGTTAATTTTATACAATTCTTAGATTTTATCTGCTCTATTACTAAATATATTGTCAAGATAAATGTTTTAACAAGGAATACTAAGGAAACAGTTTTACTTTTCTATTAATTCCGTTTGTTTTCGTCTTATGTAAACACTCGCTTCCTGGAAGCAACTTGCAATTTTAAACTTATGCTCTGTTCAAACTGACCTTTTCACGTATATATACAGTATCGGGAAGTGAACTGGTTATTAGCGCTAGTTTTTATTAACTTATTTCCTACTGGTAGGCAACAGTTTGTAAAAATTAAGGTGGTATAGACTTTGTGTATTACTACACTTTTGGCATTTGTCCTTCCTTCTTTAGGCACATTAATTTTATTTGTTTCTCTCCTGGACTTCTTTGGAAGTCGCCAATTTTTTTATTTAAAAAGTACAATTGGTTCGTGTTTCTTCTATTTAAAATTTGACCCTATTGAGAAGGGTTATTGATGGTCTAATGACTGCTTTTTTTTTTAAATAGTGGAGTTTGGTAGGTTAATATTGTTTGATATGACTTTGAATTTAAAAAGACAGCCTCTGTTAAATAGATCAGATATAGTGCCCATTGCTAATCATTTTTTTAAGGTCAGCGACTTGCCAGCGTGGCTTTTATCATAAACTTATACTGATATGGGTTGCATTGCTATTTTTTTTATTTTTCATAAGAGGCCGACTTGATAATGTTGTTTATTTACAACTTTTTCATATTTTATGCAATTTTATAACCCTTTTGAATTCTTCTGTTGTTTTTGAAAATTTTTCCGCGACCAATATAAAAATCAACTATGAAAATCATTGTACTAATGGAAAATTATATAAGAAGTGTTATTCAGCACTCAATTGCATTTTGAGTGATAAAAATATAGAGGGGTTTTTTTACCTTCAAAGCTTTAATTGATAAAGAATTCTTATATTATAATGAAAAGTTTAAAGTTATAAACAAAAATAACGAATACCTGAACCTTAGCCTCATCAAATTTTTAAAACCAAGCATAACCATTTAAATTTTTGAAAAAGTAGATGAATTAATTTTTATTGACGACGTTTTCCTTCGAAGATCCGGCCTTGGAAATACCCACGGTTTATTTTTTTGTAATCTTTCACCTACCTGCAATACGATTACTTTTTTCATTAAGAACAAGATTTCTTACCAAAATTTTGGTGGTGACAAGATTAACTGTTACAGTATTCTTGTGAATTGCTTTAGACCCTATAAATGTGGTTTTTATCACCGTTGCTCTGGAAGCCTACTAACGGATAACTATTATGGCTACACCTTTGTTTAGGGGAAACACCTAATGCTGCGGGAAAGAAAACAAATTCAAAATGTTCTTAAGGGACTGGAATCGTTTTCCTTAACTGGATGCCGTGTATAGTTTATCTCACCCTTTTGGTATCTCAAAATGATTGGTATAGAGCATTGTGAGATGAGCGCTGAGAAGGCGGGCCTTTATTGCTGTAAAACGTCAGTTCTTCGCGATAGGGTTGTAACGAATGCTTGAAATGTATCTAATATTTTTTTCTCTTCTGATAGTAATTTTTTGTTTTATACGGTTGTTTTTGAGATAGTATTGAAAGAATTTTTTTTTGAAAGGGAGTAGTGATGTCCATTTCTTCCCCAGTCCATTTCCAAGTGTGCTGTGTTCAATTCC